GATGTACAAGTCACATAAATGACACTAAGAGAAACCCTGCCCTGAAAAGGCAGAAGATGGCATTGAAGTTGTAAGATGGTGTGTGTTTCTCTGCAGGCTTGTCAGGGCTTGGGACATTAGGTTGTCTGTGGCGCGAGGTCAGGGTTTTTTAAGTGTCGTGCTGTGTTGAATTCTCACTGGTGATGAGTAGTTGGATGACACAGAGTAAATGAGTGATTAAGTAAGAGTGAAAATGCCTTGGTGCCAATCAGTGGTCCTCTGTAGGTGCATTGCTTTCAGCTCCGCTCCCTCACACACGTTTTAACTGTGAGATGCTGAAAGCCAAGATGTTCAAGCTCAAAATTGAATTCCAGCGGCAGAGTCTGGAGCTGAACTTCTCAAACCACATTTTCCTTGCTTTGTGTCCGGGCAAGGGGGAAATATGCCCATCTCCCAGAGCCTGTGCTCATCGGCCAAGTTCATGTTCTTTGCTCTTGTGTTGTCTCTGAGCTCCAGAAAAAGGAAAGGTTGACATCTGTATGTGTAGATGCTTCCCCATCCTGAAAAGCAAAGCAACCATGAACAACTTAATCTTTTATTTTAAAAGGCCGTCCTGCAAAGGTTACCAATCAATCCAGTCACTGACCTATGACATTTTCTATAAATGCACAGACAGGTCTATAGCTCACACCACCCAGCAGGCTTAGAGCAGCATCATTTGCTTTAAATTCCTTATTCCAATTGTACAATTTAATTATATTAAATGCTTGGTAGCTTACACAGGAAGGAAAAACCCATCATTAGCTGGTGTGCCTTCCGTCCCCACTGCTTTGGAGCTATGTAATGATATTGACAGATCTGGTGTATCTCTGATCGGAAACAAGTATTTAGCCACTTAATCCTTGATGAGACATGGATCTTCCAGCAGGGATCGGTGCTTACAGTGCTCATGCATTGTAACCTTACCTGTCTGTTCATGCAGGAGGGATAAACAACACGCCTCAGTCCTTCAGCACAGTCCTGTCATGTCCTTGGTTAGGTGGGCACAGCTTATGTCTCACGTGTTCTTTGGAAACTGATGGTGTGCTCGGGGCCAGACAGGGCTTTCAGATGTTGGCTTTTCTAGTGCCACTGTTAGCAGGGTCACCCGTGGCATTTGGAGGACCAGGTGGAGATCACCATCCAGTGACTCCTGCATGCCAGTCTACCCTGGCAGTGGGCGCTTTGGTGTCCCTGACCGCTGGTGCTTCAGGAATCCTTCACCAAATGCTCTTTGCTGGGTTTCCACCTCCCATTCAGTGCAGCCCATTGAGGACACCCACCCAAGCACTGGTGGGCAGCGGTGGCCATGTGCCGGCAGCACCCTGCGTGATGCTGCGACACGGCCACTTTATCAGCCAGTGCTGCTGTACTGCTAACAACGCTGTCATGTTGTATTACGCTTTTTCATGCAATTCTGTGGTTTTTTGCTTATCTGCTACCTTCCTGTGCATCGCTCGCCTCTCCAGCAGAAATGTGCCTGCTTATCTGGTACACAGTAACGAAGAAGAGATTAAAATATAACTCCTTGGCACTAATAATGTCTGCTTAACCTCCCTCTCTAGAGTCACTCAGCCCATTGGCCTTCTGAAAATATTGAATCAAAGGGTGAATGAGTCATTCCTAAAAAAAATGTACTAAACTGTATTCCTAAATTTGGTTTCCATTTCAGGAAATGGAAACAGATCAGCTTTTCATTTGCTTATGAAAGTTTTTGAGATCTGTGATAAAACAGCAGCTTTTTGGCACAGATGCATTATCACCTTTCACAAATGATGTGAGATGGATTTGAATTTAATTGGTCACCTCTCCTTTGTTGATTCATTCCTTTTTTTTTTTCCTGCTTCTTAAATGATGGGATAATTTGCTTTCTGAAAAATGCATGTTTATGGAACACTCTCCCCCTGCCCCACACCTCTGTGACTGCTTTCCCGTCTCTGGCCTCCCACAGCAAAACCTTTGCAGTTTAATAACCTATTGGATGTTTTGGTCAGTACGGCAGGGTAGGGTCGTTTGTCCGTAAAGGTAGGATCACTTGAGGAAACGGGACCCTGAGCGGTGATTTTGAAAATGAGAAAACGGCCCGGTATCATTAGCTTTTGACTTTTTTTTTCTATGCTGTTTCTATCATCTGTTCCGTTTTGCATGCCTGTGGGTGAACAGTGCCCCGTTAGCTCATGGTCTTGAGCAGTACTGTGATGGAGCCTCCAACCACCTCGGTACCTGAAAAGGCTGATGGTGTGCTGATCAGCCCCCCCGCACCCGGGACCAGGCAGCAGCGGCTGGGGTGCCGTGGTGCAGAGAGCGGGGCAGGACGCAGTGGCCAGGGCTTTCTTGTGGTCCTCCGCCACATGGGGCAATGAAGCCATTTGCGTAGGGGACAACCTCTCAACTAAACTGTATGTTCTCATCCACATTTATAAAAACCAAGATGTAATGTAGTTTAGAAGACAAGTGGAAAAACAAGCATGGGGGATGGAGGGTAATGAATCCAGAGGGCAGTGAATTTAAAGGATACTTTTCTTTCATGAAATTGGTGTATATACTTTTCAACATAGTCTCTGCCAGTAAAGCTTAGAAGACCAGGAACAAAATAGTCCCATGGGCAAAGCCCAAAAATATAAGCAAAATCCTCTAACACTTGCATGTGCTACAGTGCAGGAGTGAATGCTCCCCCTGGTCTGGATATGCCTCTGTTCGGATATCGAAATGGGGAGGCAAATTACAGAGCGGTTGGTGAAAGCAGAGGATAAACTAGTTTGTTGTCCTGGGAGCAGGACAAAGTCAGGTGAGCATATGTTGCAATTATCAGACCTACCTCCACTCTCCTCTGTTGCTTCCCATTAGCAAAAACCAATTTTTATTTTTCGTGTGTGTGTGTCTTGTGGTTGAGAGAAAGCAATACAAAAATCTCCTGGAGCTCTTGAAACATCAGGTGTCTCCAACCAAGCTCAGGGCACTCAGAAACAAAATGGTTCTTATAATTAGATAAGAGTAAAAGGGCTTTTTTTTTTCAGCTCAAGAAATCAATGATATGAGTCTATAGCATCAACATTAACGAGGCTGAATAGGCTGGTCTACATCCTGAAGAGCACTAATGATCCATTCCAGTATGTGTGCGGGTCATACGTAAAATCCATTCAAATCAGAGGCACCTGTATGATGTATTTCTACAGCATTGTACAAGCGGGGTATTGCTGCAGCCAGCCCTTGAATAAAGCACGGCTGGCGTTACGCACAATGCTATCCTTACATCACCTTTGTTTTCCTCCTCCTTGGACATGTGAATGTAAACTGTAAATTAAGTTTGAATTTGGAATTTTAATAAAGGTGAAGACGTTCCACACCCAAAGGATTGCACAGCAAAGTGACCTTTCAAATTGACAATGTAGGAAAGAGATGTTCATAGTTGAGCGGTGGGGAAGGAAAAAAAACCACCAAGTTTAAGAGCGTTTTTGCCTTGCTGCCATGGAAAAGGTGGTATCTTCAAAGGTCACCCAGGCTGTCTCATGAAGGTTTGCAGCATCCCATGTAGGCGTTCCCCTCTGTTTCACACCACAATCAAAACCACATCATCTAGTCCTGTTTAGTATACTATATCTTAGCAAAACACAAACAGATATAATCTGTGTTAATTTCACATCCTCCAGCACTGAGATTTGGTAGGAGACTGGTGCCAGGAAGGTATACAGGTCTTCAGGAGGACCCAGCACACACAGCTTTCTCCTGTCTTCTTTGAAGGAATAAACGCCTGTATCCAGGGTAGACACCCTGCTTGCAGGGAGGTGCCACTGCCCTTACTGGCACAGACCTACCATCTCCCAGTGCTGTTTGGCTGCCACCATCCAAGATATCCTCTCCTGCCATGTCCTTGTGTCCCCTGGCCACTTCCAGCCTTTGTGCAGGGTGGAGCACATCAGTCCTGACCAGCCTGTCTCTATCTCTGTCCCCACACCCATGGTGTTCTCCACCAGCCACCTCACCCTCCTGGCCTACAACCCTTTGTGAGTCTCTTTCCTAGGCCACCATCTCCAAATTAGCTGCTTCTCACCTGCACCTCCAACTGTCTGCCACAAAACACTCCTCCGTCCCATCCTCCTCCATGGGTGAGTTCAATCTCCTTCTGGTGCTAGCTCTGTCAGCCACCACCTTCTTGGTCCCCGCTGCCAACTGCAGCTTCCTGCATGCTCATGGTGGCACATGAGGCTGTGCCAACATCATTGCAGCCACCATCTCTAGAGAAACTCATCTCCTTCTCTCCTTGCCAAAGGCTGTACCCTGCAACACAAAGCCACGGATGCTGCCACCCAGTACAGGGCCGGTAGGGTCTGTCCCCTGGGTGACACCCTGCTCTCCCCAGTCCATGAGGGAGGCAAAGATCCTGGACAGGAGGTAGCACATGTGATGCCAGCCAGGGATGGATCCCACCGCACCTACCTCAACTGGTCCCTGGGGCTCAGTGCTAGGACAGGTGACCCACGACATACTGCTATCTCCATCTGAAAGGGTCACCAAACCATGTGGGAGCCACTCAGGGCTTTCTGCCTCACCTAGTGGAGGCTGGGCAGTCTGTCCTGCTGTCAGCAAGGCCACTGAGATGTACATGTCCCTTCACAGCTTGATTTTGGAATGCAGCACCCACGCCCATCTCTGTCTCAGAGATGGAAGGATCCATACTCAGCTATCGTCTTTCATCTGTCCTCCTAAGACCTGCTTGGGGATGACGGAGCTTGGATGGACCCTGCTGACAACTTGCTCAATGATGACTTAGGCTGTGGACAGGGTTTCTTCCACAGGCTGCCCCAACCTGTGTTCAGGACCTCCCCCCAGGGAGATGTCTGTGCCCTACAGGCAGCAGGACAGGTACCCACCACGTGGGCCACACCATCCTACAGGAGCTCCCTGGCCCCCACCATGCAGGGAGACAACCGCAACTGTGTGTAGGTGGGTGACAGGAGTGTGACCTGTGAGTCACCGCTCACCCTCGTCCTGCCTCGCACGGCAGGGCTCATCACACATCACGGTGAGCGTGGGCACCACTGGCATGGAGACGGCCAAGGCTGGGGGCTTTGCTTTCCCTGCAAACACAGGGAGCAGGAGAAACTGAAGCTCTTGTGCCCAACTTGCCATGGAGGGGACCTCTTTGGGAGTGATGGACGGTGGGCACGGCTGCCTTGGTAAATACAGCGCTGTCAGTATGGCCGGGGACAGCCTGCTCTCTGCAGCCTGGTTTCGCTTGTCCAGCACTGGCTGAGCCAGCAGCACGTGTTTGCACAAGTGTGTATGTGGCAACCGGGATGTTTCCTACGCCCCATTAGACACTTTTCAACATGTGAATTTGCTGCGCTCCCAGTCCGGAGTACTGCCCTGGAAAGGCTTATGTTGGCGTCAGGAGTGCACTCGACAGTCTTGAGACACAAGTGCCCTTATATGAAGGCATTTGTGTCTGTTTAAGTGACAGGCAGGATTGGGAAGAGAGCTGAGCTGTGATGGAGAGGAGGAAGGATGAGATGAGACACACCAGGGCGACAGCACTGCACACGTATGCTGTGGGCAAACCTGATCTGGAACACCTTCACAAGCGCCTGGTGTGTTTCACACAGGAGCTCTGCCTCAACGTGGCACAGGCCCCTACCACGACTCTCGTGATGCTGTCTGGGTGTCACCCTGCCCAGCACCCTGCCCATGGGTGCCCACGCTGGCAGCGTGTGGGGCTGAGCTGCCACCTTGTCCAGCCCCATGGCAGCAACCAATGCTGCCCACCTTTTCCCACCCCGATGCCCCGTTGTTGCACAACTGCCCCTGCAGCGGGGTGCGCAACAGCTCCTCCGCAGGGGTACAGGGCTTCAACAGGCTCCGGCCCCCCGGCTGACAGCTCACCTGCACCACCGTGGTGGGGATCAGCCTCTCCCCACGGTGGTGTCTGGTCCTGTCACGGCAGGACCGTGGGCACAACGCCCCCGGCAGTGGGCTCTCAGGAAGGCGCAGTCTGGCTCCCAGGGCTGGCAGCTGTGTTCCTCCAGAGCTGACACTCGTGTGACTCATCTCGATGCTGTCTCACACTCTGTGGACGCAAACACACCTATCAACAAGTCTCCCCCGGAAGGGAAAGCACCGTGCTTTTATGGTTTCCGCTGCATCATTTCCATCATGCCACACTACCAGCCACTGAAGCACACTGCCGCCCCGAAGCATCACTCCTCACAAAGCCGCAGGGAGGTATTTGCTCCCTTCCCCGCTGGCCTGTGGCTTTTGTCCACTTAGGATTTCAGAGTTCAAAACCTTGTCTCCCTGTTTGGAAGATGGGTGTCCCTGCCTTTCTGCTTTCCCTCGGTCAGCGCATCCACTCTGCCGCTTCAAGGGGGTGCAGGAAGCGCACTCAGTGCTGCATTTCTCGTTTGAACTGCTCCTGTAGCGGACACTATACCCAGATTTTTTGACAGCAGCACATAAAGTTGGAGCTGACATCTTCCAAAGGAAAGCTTAGGCTGCTCCTTTTATTTTCCCTCCCCAAAGTAATTTTCTACTGCTGCTCACCTCTCTTTTTACAGCCAGGGCTGTGTGTGAGCTGGCTCTCACAGTGCGCTCTTCCCTTTAACACTGCTGACTAACTGAAATGTCACCCCTATCTTTGGGAAAGGCAGGAAGGAGCATTCAGAGAACTACAAGTCTCACTGTGATCCCTGGGAAAGAGATGGATGATCTTCTTGGGAACCATTTAAAAGCATACTAAGGACAAGAAGGTGATTGGATGTACAAAATCATGCCTGACCAACTTGATAGGTGCCTCTGAAGAGATGACTTTGCTTGGTGAATGAAGTGAGAGCAGTGGATGTTGTCTATCTCAACTTTATAGTTGAAAGCCTTACTGTCTCCCCTAATACCCTCACAGAGAGGCTGATGAAGTATGGGCTAGATGAATGGACAGTGAGGTGGACCGAAAACTGGCTGAACTGCCAAGGTGTAAGGGCTGTGAATAGCAGCATGAAGTCCAGCTGGAGACCAGTCCCTCGTGGAGTCCCTTGGAGGTGGAGACTGGGGCAAATAATGAAGATGCCAAACGATAATGTCCCTGGTACTTGGGCAGAGTGCACCCTCGACAAGTTTGCAGAGCATACAAAAACGAGGGGAGTGGCCAGGGGGTTGTGCCACCATTCGGAGGCACCTTGACAGGCTGGAGAAATGGGCTGACAGGAACCTCATTGGGTTCAAGAAGGGAAAGGGACAAGTCCTGCACCTGGGGAGGAACAATCCCAGGCACCAGTAGAAGCTGGGGCTGGCTGCCTGCAAAGCAGCGTTACAGAGGAGGACCTGCGATCCTGGTGGAAACCAAGCTGACCATGAGCTGGCAATGTGCCATTGCAGCAAAGGTAGGCAACAGCATCCTGGGCTGCGTTAGGATGAGCATTGTCAGCAGGTCAAGGGAGGTGATCCTCCCCCTCTACCTAGCACTGGTGAGACACATCTGGAGTGCTGGGCTCCCCAGTACAAGAAAGACATGGACTTACTGGAGCAGGTCCAAGGAACAGCTACAAAGATGATTAAGGGACTGGAGCATCTCTCATATGACTGCTTAGCCTGTAGAAGAGAAGGGTCACGAGGATCTTATCCATGTGTATAAATACCCAATGGGAGGGAGTAAAGAAGATGGAGCTCCTCGCAGCAGTGACAGGGAGAGGACAAGAGGCAATGATGTGCATAAACTGAAATACAAGAAGGTCTATTATAAACATAAGAAAAAATATTTACTCCCAGGGTGATCAAACACTGGAACAGGTTGCCCAGAGAATTTGTCGTCATGATATCTTTGGAGATATTCAAAACCAGACTGGACATGGCTCTGAGTAAGCAGTTGGAGTAAAACTCAAGAGATCCCTTCCAACCACAGCCACTCGGTGAACAAGACTATCATGCTGGGCTCTCAGTCAAAAATAACTCGCAGCATCAGCCTCTGTGTGGGAAACGCAGCTGAAGCTACCACAGGCAAACAGCTCCCACAGCCTTTCCTTTGTGGCTTTCTTCACGCATGTCTTTCCTGGCTTTTAACACCTGCAGTGGCCCTCCAGTGCCTCTTTTGTGCTGTGAGCCATAGAACCACTGCAGCGTTTCATATCAGCACACTTCCCTGCCCTCTTCCGTCACAGCACCTCACAAATGCCAGATGGTATCTGAGGGTGTTACCAGTGTGTGGTTCAGAAACACTTTATGTGGCTCCTACCTTACACACTGATGGTTTGTTCTCCATGACAGATGAACCTGGTGGCTTTGGATGCCTGGTTGCCTCCCGAGGGCCGTGATTGGCACGCACATCTCTGTGGTTATAGGGTGGCTGCAAGGTGCATAAGCCTTGTGGTGGACCAGAGCAAGTGGGTCTTATCTTCAGGATCTTCTGTTGAGTTGTCCCCCCTGCACAGCCTTGCTGGACAGCTGTGCTGCAGCACTTCCTCTGCTTGATGCCACCTCATGCCACCTAGCCAGGGACACCTGGGCCATATTGGCATCCTGCCATCCTTCGCTCACCTCACCAGTGCCTGTGTGCTCTCAGCCCCGAGCTCGAGCCAGCAGGCTTCTCTTCTCTCACAGCTCAGATAGCCAGGAGACTACGCATCGTGCTATTTTATGAGCAGCCAACCGTCATTAGAGTCGCTGCAATGAAGGTGTGTTAGGGCTGGTCAGGTACTGAGGGTAAGTGGGCAGTGAGGCACTAGCTATATTGCACGCTGATTATCCACACCAATTAAATAGCCCATCACTGAGCCCTTAGGGCTTACAGCTCCACTTCTGTCTACAGAGGGTCTGACAAGTGAGGCTCTTTGCCATCCATGTGAGATGTCGAGGCCTTGGTTCAGTTGCCAGCCTGAAGCTCTCGGGCGCTTTGGTGTAGCTGTGCTCAAACAGGAGTGCAGGCTGGAGCCCTGCTGCTGGCTCCATCATGGCCATCTCCTGGCCCCCAGGCACCAAACCCATCCCTAGGGGGCATTTGGGTGCAGCAGTCTCCATCCGAGGAGCGTTAGGGAGACTTACTCTAGCCTGGAGAGAGCCTATGCTATGTGCCAAGCTGCTCAGTGTGCCCACCTCTCCATGCAGAGCTGAGCAAACATGACTCAGTGCAGCACTCAGCTGGAGGGCCCTGCACCTCCAGCTGCACAGGGTGATCTAATACCAGATATCACGTCTTCCTGGCCTCGCTTAGCTTAGGTTTCAGCACAGCCATTTCAAATCCACAGTTGCTGAGTACCACTGTTAGCAGTGGAACACACCAGTTTAGAAAGTGCTGAATGACGTCAGGCGCTAGACCTCACTGGAAAGTACTGCCACCATTTATTTGGTCAGCAGATTGACATTCAAGACCAAATTGACACGAAATCTTCTTCTGCGCAGGAGGAGGAGCTGCTATAGAAACCCTCAAGTACCAGCGAGCGTGCAAGACCATGCTCGTCCTCCAGCCCCACCGGCTGGCCTCGCTCCTCCTGGCCAGGACGTGTGGCTGCACAGCCCCCACGTGCTCTGCCTCTGGTGGGAACCACTGCTGATTTTGTGGCATTAAACCTCCAGGTAACATCACTTTGTTTCATTCTCTCTTGCTCTCTGTGAATGGCTGTTCAGGGTCCTGCTGTGGCTGGGAGGAGGCTCAGCCGCTTCATTTCTGCAGGGCAGTGCAGTCTCTGCTGTGCAGAGGTCCCTGCAGTAGGTTGCCATCTCTGAGCCTTTCGGTTTTGGTTCTTACTCTAAGGTATTCTCTGGGTACTTTACCTTTACAGCATATAGATTTTAACAGCAGCTGGGAACTGGAAGCTAAATTCATCCCAACTTGGGAAATGAGTGATTCCAAAAGATTTCTTTTTTGTCTAAGTGAACCCTTGCATCCCCTTCCAGGGTCTTTCAAAGCAGTTCTGCGGTTAGGGAGGCTGCAGTACTGTTTTCAAGGGCTGCAGCGACAGACAAGCCTGAAGGAACACAAATTTCAAAAAAAGAAAAGAAAAGAAAAGTGTTGTGCCTTAGATCGCTGTGTTTGAGAGAGCTGTGAAGAACAGCAAGATCGGAGCAGGCAGTTTCCAGGTTTCCTTATGTTGTTTGGAAACAGAAAGGAAGAGCCCCTCACTCAAGTGCTGTGGCAGGGCGCTCTCCTAGGGCTCTTCGTCCATGGTGGCAGTGCTCTCTCTTTCTGGCCGTGCTTCCCTCCCAGCTCAGCTTGCTGCCCAGGGCCCAGCCAGCAGTGCCCACGGTTAGATTAACACCCCCGTGAAGTACTGCCCTGTCCAAGTCTATTCTCATACCTGTGCAGCACATTTATTAAATCTTCGTCGACAGCTACGCATTCAATTTATAGGAAAGTTGGTGAATATGAGGGCAGTTGCCATGGAGGTGGCAGGTTTGAAGTCCGCTGATGCAGAAGATGCCGTGCTGTACCCCATCCTTCCCGCCCCATTTTCCTTCTTCCTCTCCCTTTGCTTAGTTCCAGGTCCTGTCCCTCACCCACCCCGGCAGCACCCCTCGGGTCCCACGGTGTCCTTAGTCATTTCACCCACCACATCCACACTTTGGTCCTCTGGTACCTGCTGATTTCTGACTTCCCCCCACAAAGCGGAAAAAGGATTTTACACGCAAGACTCCTCCTCCAGTGCAGCTGCTTCCCCGCAGGCATCCCACTGGGAAATACACTGGGTGTTTGCCATCATGGTGCTGCTGTGACAGTCACTGTGCCTTCAGCCTCTGCCTTGCTTCTCTTCCTCCAAGCTCT